ATCAAGATTCAACCAAAATTCAGAACGTTTGAGTATGTCTGACACAGATTGCTCACTTATTCCAAATTCCTTCGCTAATTGTACGCCTGTCAAGCTTGACTCTATTTCACGTGATATCCGCTATATCGAGCATACTTTGGTGTTAGCATCCGATATATAGGCTTTATCGAAAGATTACTAATAAAATCCGGTATATCGAGAGTCCGTTATATCGAGTTTCACTGTGTATACAGTGAACTCTCCCTAAGTGCACCCTCCCTAAATGCACACTTTTAGATTTTTTTCACTATGGTCCCGACAACGTGCACTTAGGGAAAGTTCAACTGTAGTATGGAAGAAGTCGATCGACTTACGGCTTATCGCGATTATATATGTGTCGATCAATTTATCAAGATTTTTTAAATACTGAAAAAAAGGGCTGAAAACGTTTGACCGACTTATCGAGTTTCCCTGTGTATTGAAATTGAATTTAAATATGTTGTTATAATTAATACAATAGATAAATTATACGAGGGGAGCAAAGGCTCGAACCGCCTCCCGGTTATACCCTTCCCCGCGGTGCTGTTTGTGCCGTTTGCGTGTTGCTTTTTCTTTTGCCCTTCCATTGCGGTCGGAAAATTAACTATTATCACAGAAACAGTAGAGCGATTGACGAATATTAGAAACTTTTCGTACAAGCAGAGTTACGATATATATATGGGCATGAAAAAAAAAGATTTACAAGAAGGCATCGGACTGCCAGGAAAAAAGAGACGCAAATCTTTGTGTTCATGGTGTTGTATCTCACCGTAGAACATCAAGACCAAATAGTAGTCTTGAGTTGATGAAGATGGCAGAGTCTGCCAAACTCTGAGGAAAAATAATTGAATGGTAAATATTCTATTCTAAACTTGTAACAAATAAATCTGCTATATAACTTACGTTCGTCTATTAATTGCGTGCCGTTCCCGTTGACAGGTAAAGCTGCGAAGGCTGTTATGGCTGCTTTCCGTAAATTGGTGCGGTTCTCGTTGGCAGGGCATTGGTAGTTGTCGTCGTCGTCGTTGCTGTTGCTGTTGTTGTCGTTGTCGTTGTCGTTGCTGTTGTGTTGTTGTCGTCGTTGCTGTTGTCGTTTTCGTTGTCGTTGTCGTTGCTGTTGTCGTTGCTGTTGTCGTTGCTGTTGTCGTTGCTGTTGTCGTTGTCGTTGTCGTTGCTGTTGTCGTTGTCGTTGTCGTTGCTGTTGTCGTTGCTGTTGCTGTTGTCGTTGTCGTTGCTGTTGTCGTTGTCGTTTCTCACCAGGCAGTCTTGCTATTTTTGCACAGCAAGTCGTCAAGTGTGATTTCGTATTTTTGAAATCCTTCTATACATGTTTGTTTCATCTCTATCTACCCGCAGTGCGTGTATTAGATTACACCTTCGTTTCATAATCTGTTAAATTAATAAGAATTGTTTCTGGAATATTTTGCCATTCCTCTTCCATATACAAGTGCGTCTCGATATAACGACACTGCTATATAACGACATCTCGTTATTGACAAAAAATCTATATAATGAAATTTATTCGATATAACGACATTATATATAAATTTTGGGAGGCAATCATTTCGACAATCATTTCACCGACAAATATTCACCAACATTATTTCGAAGTTATCCTTTTTTGGTAATTAATTGTCGGTGTCGGTGAATGATTGTTGATGAAATAATACGACCATAAATTTCGTTATAACGGTATATAACGACATTTTTTGGGAAAAAATTATCTTAATAAAGCATCGGGATATACCGACATTTAATATTCGTTGTACGCAAATTTGAGTGACACACATCTCCTTTTTGGGGGGTAGGCTAAAGCGGAGTACAGGTGAAACCTGTTTAAACCGGCGCTGATTAATATTAAGCCGGTCTCGGGTTTAACCGGCCACTCCAAAATTCCATTAATTAAAAATTCTCGTTAAACCGGCATTTAATAGTATTAGTATCTCTGGTTATACCGTTAAACCGGTACAATTATTTAGTTACACAAGATGCATAATATGTAAATCTATATTAATGTTACGACCCGTTCTGACCCATTTCGGTTTTTTGCAAATTTGTGATAATCTACGAAAAAATTTTTATCACCGTAACACACGCTACCAAATATTGGGGGGTTAGATATCGGTAGCGTTACAAACATATGGGAAGCCTCATATGAAAATCCATATACGAAGTTTTTTTTGTCGATCATTCGCTGATCATTTTCGATCATTTTAATAGTAAACTTCAAAATGCTACGACCTTCGAATGAAGAAAGTTACGGCCTCTAAACTTTGGCAGCAAACAGTTTAACACCCGTTTCATCATCTGATGGCTATTTTTTTTTTGTTTATATTAGGAAAAAAGTTAAAGAAAAATCGATTTTAAAAAGTTTCTAATAAGTAAACTAACGTTTATGTCAATAAAAACGAAAAAACAGAGCCGTCAGTTTGTTAGTAAATGATTCAAGAACATGAAAACAGAAAGAATGAAAGTTATGGATATGTAAATCCTTGGGGGAGGCCGGTCGAACTAAAGTGAATATCACCATAGCCGCTGCAGTTACGGCTAACGCACGGAGCGTATTCGATTTCAATTTTGTGTAACTTTCTTGTTGTTCAATAAATCTGGCTAAGACTTAAATAAGTAGTGACCGGCGCTATTTTAATATTATATTAAGCCGCTATCAATAAAAATACGATAGCTTTAATTTCCTACCCAACCTGGACAGGTACACTCATGAAATTGAAATCGAATACGCTCCGTGCGTTAGCCGTAACAGCAGCGGCTATGGTGATAATCACTTTAGTTCGACCGGCCTCCCCCAAGGATTTACATATCCATAACTTTCATTCTTTCTGTTTTCATGTTCTTGAATCATTTACTAACAAACTGACGGCTCTGTTTTTTCGTTTTTATTGACATAAACGTTAGTTTACTTATTAGAAACTTTTTAAAATCGATTTTTCTTTAACTTTTTTCCTAATATAAACAAAAAAAAAATAGCCATCAGATGATGAAACGGGTGTTAAACTGTTTGCTGCCAAAGTTTAGAGGCCGTAACTTTCTTCATTCGAAGGTCGTAGCATTTTGAAGTTTACTATTAAAATGATCGAAAATGATCAGCGAATGATCGACAAAAAAAACTTCGTATATGGATTTTCATATGAGGCTTCCCATATGTTTGTAACGCTACCGATATCTAACCCCCCAATATTTGGTAGCGTGTGTTACGGTGATAAAAATTTTTTCGTAGATTATCACAAATTTGCAAAAAACCGAAATGGGTCAGAACGGGTCGTAACATTAATATAGATTTACATATTATGCATCTTGTGTAACTAAATAATTGTACCGGTTTAACGGTATAACCAGAGATACTAATACTATTAAATGCCGGTTTAACGAGAATTTTTAATTAATGGAATTTTGGAGTGGCCGGTTAAACCCGAGACCGGCTTAATATTAATCAGCGCCGGTTTAAACAGGTTTCACCTGTACTCCGCTTTAGCCTACCCCCCAAAAAGGAGATGTGTGTCACTCAAATTTGCGTACAACGAATATTAAATGTCGGTATATCCCGATGCTTTATTAAGATAATTTTTTCCCAAAAAATGTCGTTATATACCGTTATAACGAAATTTATGGTCGTATTATTTCATCAACAATCATTCACCGACACCGACAATTAATTACCAAAAAAGGATAACTTCGAAATAATGTTGGTGAATATTTGTCGGTGAAATGATTGTCGAAATGATTGCCTCCCAAAATTTATATATAATGTCGTTATATCGAATAAATTTCATTATATAGATTTTTTGTCAATAACGAGATGTCGTTATATAGCAGTGTCGTTATATCGAGACGCACTTGTATATGGAAGAGGAATGGCAAAATATTCCAGAAACAATTCTTATTAATTTAACAGATTATGAAACGAAGGTGTAATCTAATACACGCACTGCGGGTAGATAGAGATGAAACAAACATGTATAGAAGGATTTCAAAAATACGAAATCACACTTGACGACTTGCTGTGCAAAAATAGCAAGACTGCCTGGTGAGAAACGACAACGACAACAGCAACGACAACGACAACAGCAACAGCAACGACAACAGCAACGACAACGACAACGACAACAGCAACGACAACGACAACGACAACAGCAACGACAACAGCAACGACAACAGCAACGACAACAGCAACGACAACGACAACGAAAACGACAACAGCAACGACGACAACAACACAACAGCAACGACAACGACAACGACAACAACAGCAACAGCAACGACGACGACGACAACTACCAATGCCCTGCCAACGAGAACCGCACCAATTTACGGAAAGCAGCCATAACAGCCTTCGCAGCTTTACCTGTCAACGGGAACGGCACGCAATTAATAGACGAACGTAAGTTATATAGCAGATTTATTTGTTACAAGTTTAGAATAGAATATTTACCATTCAATTATTTTTCCTCAGAGTTTGGCAGACTCTGCCATCTTCATCAACTCAAGACTACTATTTGGTCTTGATGTTCTACGGTGAGATACAACACCATGAACACAAAGATTTGCGTCTCTTTTTTCCTGGCAGTCCGATGCCTTCTTGTAAATCTTTTTTTTTCATGCCCATATATATATCGTAACTCTGCTTGTACGAAAAGTTTCTAATATTCGTCAATCGCTCTACTGTTTCTGTGATAATAGTTAATTTTCCGACCGCAATGGAAGGGCAAAAGAAAAAGCAACACGCAAACGGCACAAACAGCACCGCGGGGAAGGGTATAACCGGGAGGCGGTTCGAGCCTTTGCTCCCCTCGTATAATTTATCTATTGTATTAATTATAACAACATATTTAAATTCAATTTCAATACACAGGGAAACTCGATAAGTCGGTCAAACGTTTTCAGCCCTTTTTTTCAGTATTTAAAAAATCTTGATAAATTGATCGACACATATATAATCGCGATAAGCCGTAAGTCGATCGACTTCTTCCATACTACAGTTGAACTTTCCCTAAGTGCACGTTGTCGGGACCATAGTGAAAAAAATCTAAAAGTGTGCATTTAGGGAGGGTGCACTTAGGGAGAGTTCACTGTATACACAGTGAAACTCGATATAACGGACTCTCGATATACCGGATTTTATTAGTAATCTTTCGATAAAGCCTATATATCGGATGCTAACACCAAAGTATGCTCGATATAGCGGATATCACGTGAAATAGAGTCAAGCTTGACAGGCGTACAATTAGCGAAGGAATTTGGAATAAGTGAGCAATCTGTGTCAGACATACTCAAACGTTCTGAATTTTGGTTGAATCTTGAT